TTTTTCCCCTCCTATGCGGTGTACGGGACCCCCAGCACTCCCAGCCCCAACTTCCACAAAAAATGCGCTGTTCCTCCCCCGGCTGCTCCTCATGGGGGACCAGCCCCGCACCAGCTCGAGCTGCGGCTGCCGAAACACGTCAAAATGCTGTTTAACGCTAATTTTTACACAAAAACACACACCACCCCCCAGCCCCCGCCCCGCAGCGGAGCCCCCGGGCAGGACCTGCCCCGCCGCACCGCCTCAGACCGCGGGGTAACCTCGACCCCCCGCCCCTCGCTGCCCCATGAGGCGCCCGGGGCAGCGTTGGGCTCCCGGCCCGGGGCGCTGACGGGGGAGCGGCCGGTGAGGCCGCGGCGCCGCCCCTCCCCTCACGACCAGCGCGGGCACCGAGCTCGGCTCCCAGGAGAGGAAGCACCGGCTCGGGGCCGCGGAGAGGCCGCGGAAGGACCGCGGAGGGGCCACGGAGGAGCCCCCGGCCCGTCCCCTCACACACAAAATGGCGGCGCCGCCGCTCCCGCGCGGCCCCTCCCGGCCGCCATCGCCGCCGCCCCGGCCCCGCCGCCCGCTCGGCCAATCACATCCCGCCGTGCCGCCGCGAGACGGCCCGGCGGCGCCAATGGGAATGCGGGGAAGAGGCGGGGCGCGGGGCATTGTGGGGGTTGTAGTCTCCAGGCGTGAAGCGACCGAGGGGGCGATGAGGGCGTGGACTCGCTGTCCCAGGAGGCCCCGCGGCCACGCGTGGCGAGCGCGGGGTCCTGGCGGTGGGGCCGGGCCCGGCCCCGCGGGGAAACCGCGACCGGGCCCTACCGCGGGCCCTGACCGGGGTCCCTGCGTCCCCTTGGCCCTGAGAGCTCCCGATGGGGTTTGGGCCGGGATGGAGACGCTGAAACCCCGCCCGGGGCGGGCTGAGGCCTTGCTCAGGCGGCCTGTGCGGGGCCAGAGGGGCGGCTCCGGGGAGGGGCCTGGCTCGAAGAGGGGACCCCAGGGCCAAAGTGGGGGGGGTTATTCCCTTCACGGGTGGGACCCCAGGGCCAAAGAGGGGGTTATTGCACTTGCAGGGGGGAACCCCAGTGCCAAAGGGGGTGTCCAGCTCACAGTGATACCCCAGCCTCAAATTGGGGGGTACTCGACTCACAGGAGAGACCCCAGTGCCAAAGGAGGGGTTATTCCACCTGCAGGGCTGACCCCAGCCCCAAAGAAGGGTGCCCCACCCACAGGGGATACCCCAGCCCAAAGTGGGGCTACTCCACACACAGGGGGGACCCCAGTGCCAAAGAGGGGTGTCCTGTTCACAGGGGTCCCCCAGCTCTAAAAGGGGGTGCTCGGCTCAGGAAAGGGGTGCCCCAGCCCCAAAAGGGGGGGCCTGGCTTAGGAAGGGGCTGCCCAACTCTAGGCCCAGCCTTGAGCTTCCAACTCACACTCTTGAAAGCTTCTGTCCTTCTCCAGAACTGTTCCTGGATGGCAGCACACATGGATCACGATTATGTGGATCACAATTAGCAGATGGATCACAATTAGCAGCCCCCACCCTCCCCCAGCACGGTGAGAGCTCAGCACACTCAGGGGGTGACAGTTACCCCTCTTCCCCCCCCCAGATTCCCCCTCTACCCAATTCCAGGCTCCTCCATCTCAGCTTTCAAGGGCAGGAGGGACCCAAAGGGCCAAGTCCAGGAGCTTTCCCGAGGGTTTCACAGGGATTTTTCCCACTGGTGTCTCTCCTTGCTGGCTGAGCTGTGTGGCGTGTCGGAATTTAAGGGAATGTGTGCAGGAATTTAAGGGAACAATGTGTATTTTGGGGATCAGGACACATAAAAGGCAAAAATAAGCAATAAATTTTGCAAATAAAGGCAAAAAACCCCCCAAACCTAAGAAGTCCTACAAAGTTGGTCACCTTGGACTCTTTGTCTGTGGGGCAGACTGGGCTTCCTTGCCTGTTCCTTCCCTTCCCTACCTGCTCCTTCCTTTCCCTGACTGTTCCTGCCCTTCCCTGCCTGCTCCTGCCCAAAGCAGAGCACAGAGGAGCACGGGGGAGTTTGGAGGAGCTGGGAAGCAGCCTGGGGTGCTGATAACCCCCCCTCTCCTGGAGCTGGACTTATCTCTGAGCCTGTGACCTTCCCGGCCCAGCTGAGCCTCACCCGTGTGCTGGGAGCCCACGCCCAACTCTGGCCCCTCCGTCCCTCCCCTGTGCTGCTTTTGCCCACACTGAGGCTCTCTGAGGTCCCAAGTGCCATTATTTGTCAGTCCCAGGAGTTGTTGTCCCAGGGATCCAGAGGCAATCCTGCTCCCTGGAGTGCTTCCTGTGCCACGGGAACACCATCAGTCCTGTCTCAGAGCCCCTTTGCCTTCCCGGGCTGGAGGAACAAGTTCAAGGTTCCCAAGGCTGCCTGGAGGAGCTGGATTAGGATCTCACACAGGGACAGGGTGATTCCCGAGCTCGTGCCAGGGATTTTGTGGTTTACTGACCTGGATTGATTTATTTTCCATGTATTTTCCAAGCTCCTCCACACCCCGGCATGTCTGGCTGAGCCTCAACTCCCACCCATAGGTGCTCCCTCCAAAGCTGGGGTGCCACAACCCTTTCCAGAGTCTCAGGAATATTTCTGGGGCATCGGGTGTTTGCACAACCCCAATCCTGCAGGATTGGGTTTGCTCCCAGCCCCCGGGAAGGCTTTTTGTGGGGGGAATGCTGTGGGGCTGGATTTAACCCGTGGCATGGGGGTGTCTCCTTCCAGAGCATTTCGGGTCTGGATTTGCATTTGGAGGGGGGTTACTGTGCCAAAGGCCTGGAATGGCAGTGCCCTGGATCGGCTGGATGGGACAGGGAGCTGCTTGTTGGGACCAGCCTGAGCTCGAGCAAAGCCCTGTGCAAAGCCTGGGCAGGAGTGGGGTGAAGGGAGCCCAGCGGGGTCTGGCAACCCCAGTGCCAACTCCCAGTGCCCTACACCAGCTCCCAGCACCCATCTCCCAGTGCTTCCAGTGCTCCCATATCCCAGCGCTCTCGGCAACCATCTCGGACTGCTCTTAGCACCCAGTGCTTCCAGCTCGCATCTCCCAGCACTCCCAGCTCCCAGATCCCAGCATCCATCTCCCAGCGTTCCCAGCATCCATCTCCCAGAGCTCCCAGCTGCCATTTCCCAGCGCTCCCAGTGTTCCCAGCATCCAGCTCCCGGTGCTCCCCGTCCCCCGCCGCTCCCCCCGCCCCGAGCGCTGGGGGGCGACACGTGCTCCCCACTTGGCCACGCCCACCGCACCATATAAGGCTCTGTCTCCGCCCACACCCTGACATGGCCCCTCCCACCACACCCAACAAGGACGTGGCCACGCCCAACCCGGAAGCCCCGTTCCGAAAGCCCCTCCCCCTGACCTGGCCCCGCCCCCAGCGCGTGCGCAGCCGGCCCCGCCCCCAAACGTGTCCCCCCCCCCGCTTCTGGCCCCGCCCCCAAACTCCCACGTGTCCCCCCCTTGTCCCCTGGGTGTCCCCAACCCCCCACGTGTCCCCTCCTGTCCCCTGGGTGTCCCTGCTCCATTTCCATGTCCCTTCTTGTGTCTCTGTGCCCCCCCCCGGTGTCCCCAGACCCTCCCTGTGGCTGCCACGTGTCCCCATCCCTGGTGTCACCCTGTCACTGGTGTCCCCCGTGTGCCCCCATGTCCTCTGTGTCCTCCCACGTTCCTCCGATGTCCCCGTCCCCCTACGCCTGTGTCCCCCATGACCTCTGTGGGCCCTGTGGCTCCCATGTCCCCCTCTGTCCCCACTGTCCCCTTTGTCCCCTCAGCATTTCCCTGGACCCCCCAAACCCTCTGAGTACCCCATCTGTCCCCATGTCCCCTGTGCCCCCCAAGTCCTCTGTGTCTGACCCAGGACCCAGCGAGGTGACCCTGTTCCCCCCCACATTATCACCCACAGCTGAGCCCTGCAGTGCCACCATTTATTGTAGGACCTACAAAAAAGCAGAGGCAGCAGAATCTGCACAAAAGCCCTGACTCAGCCCAAAGTGTGTGTGTGGGGGGGCTCTGCAGGGGGGCATCAGGGTGAACAGGGGGATCCTGCCCATGGGCAGGTTTGGGATGGGGGGTGGCACCTGGAAGTCCCATCCTGGCCATGCCAGGGCTTCTCTGGGGTAGGGGGGACATGATCCAACACATGGATGCCTGGATGGGAGTGCTAATGATCAATTAATTAATTAATTTTATAAGGCACAAGGAGAGGCTGTCCGTGCCGGGTAATGAACCACTGGGCATTTTGGATGGGCCACATTCCCCAATCCAAAAGCAAAGACATGGGACAGGGTGGGGGTCGGTGACCCTTAAATGAACTGCTGTCAATAATGAGGCTGGAAAATCCCAAAGGATGGATGGATCTACTCCCTAATCCCTGGACCAGCATCCAGCTTTTCCTGCTGCTGATGCCCCGTGGATGTGATGCTCCACCCAGCGCGGATGCGGCTCCCAAGGGATTCACCCTCCAGCCAAGCACTGCATCCCGCCACAGATCCCCCAGATCCCAAATCTTTGTTCCCTCCCGGCCTTTTTCCTGCTCGTTTTTCTGCCCGTCACCGGGAGCAGCGTCAGGCCAACACTGACATCAAGTGGCTGCCGGGATCCTTCGCTTTCCTGGGCCGCATCCTGCCCTTCCCTGCGCCGGGAGCAGCCCAGCACCACCCTCCTCCTGCCCGGGAGAGGGACCAGCCGGGTCTCCATCCGTGCCCACTTGGGCGGGCGTGATGCATCCAGCCGTGCTCCATCCGCCTGTCCCCAGCCAGGCCACCCCCGTGTCCTATCCTGTCCCCAGGACCAGTCGATATCCCAGCGGGATCGAGCCGAGCGCCGAGCCGGGAGCATCCGCACACATCCCTCACCCACGGGGAGCCCCCTGACCGCGGCACCCCCGGCCCGGGCTCTGCCCCGCCGCGGGCAAGGGCAGGGTGACAAAGGCACGGCGAGGTCGTGGTGGCCCTGCCACCGCCCGTTTGTCCCCAGTCCCTGCCCGAGGCCGCGGACTTTGTGCCGGGCGCGGGAGCGGCGGCGGGGATGTGTCTGGCGGCGCTGGCACGGCCCCAAATCTCGGCTCCGGACTGCAGGTAACCCCGGGGTGACCCCCCCGGGGTGACGCGGGGCTGCCCCGCCGATCTCGGGTCGTGATCCCCAGGTCCCGACTCAGCTCCCGGGGGAAATCACGGCGTTATTCCCGTTTTATAGGAGGGGAAGCTGAGGCAGAGTGGCCACACAGCCCTGCTTTTTGGGGGGGATAAAGGCTGGAAAACCCCGGGTTTTCCCTTCAAATCACCAGGCTGGGAGGCCCGGAGGAGTTTTGTAACTCCCCATTCACCTTCATCCCGGCTTTCCTGAACCCAGAGCTGAGCTCCCCTGCGGAAGCTGAAGCCCAGGGTGGGGAAATTGGGATATTGGCTGCAGGTGGAGCTGGAATTAGGGGGGCAGGTGTGGGTGTTCAGCCCCTCTGCGGGTGTTACGTCC